CCAGACTTTTCCTGTCTTTGTTCCAAATTGTCTGTCATCATACTTCAGTGAGAATTTTACAGAAGACAAAAGAGGAAGGAAAAAAATAAACTTAGTTCTATTTCTTCAAAACCCATTAGTCTCTGTTAATCACGAGGGAGCTTCCTTTTTTCCACGCATCTTAAGTCTTAAGTCAACTCTGAGCAATTACATATCACTGAAACTAAATTAAATGAATTTGAATCAGCAGGCTTTCCTCTTCACAACAGCAGCTTTTTTTTCTGTGAGCGAGTGAATGGAAACAAACTGTCTTCTGTGGACTGAGACAGAAAGGCCATCCAACATCGCACCCTAGGCCTGGTGTGACCCTGCATTTTTATGTGAGCGTGGTATTCAAAATTCAGCTGTTTGCTTTGTTGAAATGATAATGACAGAAATGGGGCAATCGTGGCTCAAAGAGTTGTCAGTTTGTCTTGTAACCGGTAGGTTGCCGGTTCGAGCCCCTGCTCGGACAGTCTGGGTCGTTGTGTCCTTGGGCAAGACACTTCACCTGCCGCCTACTGGTGTTGGCCAGAGGGGCTGATAGTGCGATATGGCGGCCTCGCTTCTGTCAGTCTGCCCCAGGGCAGCTGTGGCTACAACTGTAGTTTGCCTCCGCCAGTATGTGCTTTGAGGGCCCCAAAAAGCGTTATATAAATGCAATCCATTATTTTTATTAAATGGCCGAGGGGCTCTGGTCACTGATCACAGAACAGTGTTTCCCTCTATGCAGTTGCTTCAATCAGTACTGCTACAAGGCTCATGCAGACTGACATTGTTTGCTATCTTTGCACAAAGAACAATCTTGTCTGTCATGTAGAATAAAATGATCAGTGTTTGACATATTACTGGTCATGACATCCTACAATCTAGAAAGAATGATGACTATTAGAGAATTACAAGCCAGGGAACAGCGCTGTTAGTGGGTGAGCAGACAGATGAGGAAATAAAACGATTCCAAATCTAAACCGAAGTTTGAGTTTCAAAATCACAAAGGAGAATTTCAACAAAGCCACGAGGAAGATGACACACCAGGGGGTTACTGGAAGCAGTGGCAAGAGCAAGAGTAAGCACTTAGAAGCCAAGCAAAACATGGAGGTAAGAGAACAGAGGACTGAGACAGGATTCAGCTGGGAGACATGACATGCTGAATGAATTATCGTAGATTTAGGTAGTTTTAGACAGACAGTGGATGGAGTTATGATTTCTTCAATTACATAGGGGCTCTAAAGAGATGTCATTGATGACAACCAAACATGTTGATCTAAATGAAAACAGGTGTCCTCCATCAATCTGCCAGCTTCTTATGTCGTTCAGCTGTCTCAAGAAACACACCCTTGGCCTCGTCCCATGCTTTCCTGAGCTGTTAACAGAGGGGGATGGGTGAGGTGGGAACAACCCAGTGCACTACAGCTTTTATTTGTTTCGAGCTCTGTCTTCATCTGCCCACTCGCAAGGAGGTAGCCCAGAAAAGAACCTGATATTTCTTTGCATTAACTTCCTCACATTTTTCTGGTGATCAACTGGGTCTTTAGTAACTTTAAGTTATACATATCAGCTTCCACCTATCTTTACACCAGCTTTCTTCTCATTGGTTACCCCTGACAAACAAACATTCGATCGTCAGGTGGGTGGGGCTACTGTGTTCACAGGCAGAGCTGTGTTTTTAAATTTTTTAAAACCTCAAATAGAAGAAAATTAGAAACCCAGAAGATGTATGAGGTCACGCTTATATATTTTATATATTTATTTACTTATTTTTAGGTTGTGACTTCTAGGACTCGGTGATAATGTGATTCTCTGCAGGTGTGCTCATGTGCTAGACAGTAAAGTCTAAAAAAGTAAAGTAAACCTTGGAGACAGGCTGCTAGGGATTATTATACTCTACCTACATTAAACCACCTTTCTTTGAACAACGTTTCCTTGGGTTAAAGATAATAAAAGAAGAGTTAATCCTTGTGAACACTAAAGCTCATTCCACCGGAGTATTGTCGTCCACTCCAGTGTTGCTATCTTTGAACAGCCTGTTATGTGTTCTGTGAGGTGTCAACTGATAGCTCTATAAGCGCTGTTGCACTACCAGTTGTCATTCCTCCTAAGCGAGTGCTTTCTCATATTTCAGTGGTGTAAAATTAGTCTCGAAATGTTTACAAAAGTCATATAATTTAAAAATTCAGTTATTTCAAGCAGCTTCCTGTGAATTTC